AGTTTAGTAGTAGTAGTAGTAGTAGTAGTATTTGCGTAGTAGTAGTAGTAGTAGTAGTAGTAGTAGTATTTGCAGTAGTAGTAGTAGTAGTAGTAGTAGTAGTAGTAGTATTTGCAGTAGTAGTAGTAGTAGTAGTAGTATTTGCAGTAGTAGTAGTAGTAGTAGTAGTAGTAGTAGTATTTGCAGTAGTAGTAGTAGTAGTAGTAGTAGTAGTATTTGCAGTAGTAGTAGTAGTAGTAGTAGTAGTAGTAGTAGTAGTATTTGCAGTAGTAGTAGTAGTATTTGCAGTAGTAGTAGTAGTAGTAGTAGTAGTAGTAGTAGTAGTATTTGCAGTAGTAGTAGTAGTAGTAGTAGTAGTATTTGCAGTAGTAGTAGTAGTAGTAGTAGTAGTAGTAGTAGTATTTGCAGTAGTAGTAGTATTTGCAGTAGTAGTAGTAGTAGTAGTAGTAGTATTTGCTAGTAGTAGTAGTAGTAGTAGTAGTAGTAGTTGCAGTAGTAGTAGTAGTATTTGCAGTAGTAGTAGTAGTAGTATTTGCAGTAGTAGTAGTAGTATTTGCAGTAGTAGTAGTAGTATTTGCAGTAGTAGTAGTAGTAGTAGTAGTAGTAGTATTTGCAGTAGTAGTAGTAGTATTTGCAGTAGTAGTAGTAGTAGTAGTAGTAGTAGTAGTAGTATTTGCAGTAGTAGTAGTAGTAGTAGTAGTAGTAGTAGTAGTAGTATTTGCAGTAGTAGTAGTAGTAGTAGTAGTAGTAGTAGTAGTATTTGCAGTAGTAGTAGTAGTAGTAGTAGTAGTAGTAGTAGTAGTATTTGTAGTAGTAGTAGTAGTAGTAGTAGTAGTAGTAGTATTTGCAGTAGTAGTAGTAGTAGTAGTAGTAGTAGTAGTATTTGCAGTAGTAGTAGTAGTAGTAGTAGTAGTAGTAGTAGTATTTGCAGTAGTAGTAGTAGTAGTAGTATTTGCAGTAGTAGTAGTAGTAGTAGTATTTGCAGTAGTAGTAGTAGTAGTAGTATTTGCAGTAGTAGTAGTAGTAGTAGTAGTAGTAGTAGTAGTATTTGCAGTAGTAGTAGTAGTAGTAGTAGTAGTAGTATTTGCAGTAGTAGTTAGTAGTAGTAGTAGTAGTAGTAGTATTTGCAGTAGTAGTAGTAGTAGTAGTAGTAGTAGTATTTGCAGTAGTAGTAGTAGTAGTAGTAGTAGTAGTAGTATTTGCAGTAGTAGTAGTAGTAGTAGTAGTATTTGCAGTAGTAGTAGTAGTAGTAGTATTTGCAGTAGTAGTAGTAGTTTGCAGTAGTAGTAGTAGTAGTAGTATTTGCAGTAGTAGTAGTAGTAGTATTTGCAGTAGTAGTAGTAGTAGTAGTAGTAGTATTTGCAGTAGTAGTAGTAGTAGTAGTAGTAGTAGTAGTATTTGCAGTAGTAGTAGTAGTAGTAGTAGTAGTAGTAGTAGTATTTGCAGTAGTAGTAGTAGTAGTAGTAGTAGTAGTATTTGCAGTAGTAGTAGTAGTAGTAGTAGTAGTAGTAGTAGTAGTATTTGCAGTAGTAGTAGTAGTAGTAGTAGTAGTAGTAGTTTGTAGTAGTAGTAGTAGTATTTGCAGTAGTAGTAGTAGTAGTAGTAGTAGTAGTAGTAGTAGTATTTGCAGTAGTAGTAGTAGTAGTAGTAGTAGTATTTGCAGTAGTAGTAGTAGTAGTAGTAGTAGTAGTAGTAGTATTTGCAGTAGTAGTAGTATTTGCAGTAGTAGTAGTAGTATTTGCAGTAGTAGCAGTAGTAGTAGTAGTAGTAGTAGTAGTAGTAGTAGTAGTAGTAGTAGTAGTATTTGCAGTAGTAGTAGTAGTAGTAGTAGTATTTGCAGTAGTAGTAGTAGTAGTAGTAGTAGTAGTAGTAGTAGTAGTAGTAGTATTTGCAGTAGTAGTAGTAGTAGTATTTGCAGTAGTAGTAGTAGTAGTAGTAGTAGTAGTAGTATTTGCAGTAGTAGTAGTAGTAGTAGTAGTATTTGCAGTAGTAGTAGTAGTAGTAGTATTTGCGTAGTAGTAGTAGTAGTAGTAGTAGTAGTAGTAGTAGTAGTATTTGCAGTAGTAGTAGTAGTAGTAGTAGTAGTAGTATTTGCAGTAGTAGTAGTAGTAGTAGTATTTGCAGTAGTAGTAGTAGTAGTAGTATTTGCAGTAGTAGTAGTAGTAGTAGTAGTAGTAGTAGTAGTAGTAGTAGTATTTGCAGTAGTAGTAGTAGTAGTAGTATTTGCAGTAGTAGTAGTAGTAGTAGTAGTAGTAGTAGTATTTGCAGTAGTAGTAGTAGTATTTGCAGTAGTAGTAGTAGTAGTAGTAGTAGTATTTGCAGTAGTAGTAGTAGTAGTAGTAGTAGTATTTGCAGTAGTAGTAGTAGTAGTAGTATTTGCAGTAGTAGTAGTAGTAGTAGTAGTAGTAGTAGTAGTAGTAGTAGTAGTATTGCAGTAGTAGTAGTAGTAGTAGTAGTAGTAGTAGTAGTAGTAGTATTTGCAGTAGTAGTAGTAGTAGTAGTAGTAGTAGTAGTATTTGCAGTAGTAGTAGTAGTAGTAGTAGTAGTAGTAGTATTTGCAGTAGTAGTAGTAGTAGTAGTAGTAGTAGTAGTATTTGCAGTAGTAGTAGTAGTAGTAGTATTTGCAGTAGTAGTAGTAGTAGTAGTAGTAGTAGTAGTAGTATTTGCAGTAGTAGTAGTAGTAGTAGTAGTAGTAGTAGTATTTGCAGTAGTAGTAGTAGTAGTATTTGCAGTAGTAGTAGTAGTAGTAGTAGTAGTATTTGCAGTAGTAGTAGTAGTAGTAGTAGTAGTATTTGCAGTAGTAGTAGTAGTAGTAGTAGTAGTATTTGCAGTAGTAGTAGTAGTAGTATTTGCAGTAGTAGTAGTAGTAGTAGTAGTAGTATTGCAGTAGTAGTAGTAGTAGTAGTAGTAGTAGTAGTAGTAGTAGTAGTAGTATTTGCAGTAGTAGTAGTAGTAGTAGTAGTAGTAGTAGTATTTGCAGTAGTAGTAGTAGTAGTAGTAGTAGTAGTATTTGCAGTAGTAGTAGTAGTAGTAGTAGTAGTAGTAGTAGTAGTAGTAGTAGTAGTATTTGCAGTAGTAGTAGTAGTAGTAGTAGTATTTGCAGTAGTAGTAGTAGTATTTGCAGTAGTAGTAGTAGTAGTAGTAGTAGTAGTATTTGCAGTAGTAGTAGTAGTATTTGCAGTAGTAGTAGTAGTAGTAGTAGTAGTAGTAGTATTTGCAGTAGTAGTAGTAGTAGTAGTATTTGCAGTAGTAGTAGTAGTAGTAGTAGTAGTATTTGCAGTAGTAGTAGTAGTAGTAGTAGTATTTGCAGTAGTAGTAGTAGTAGTAGTAGTAGTATTTGCTAGTAGTAGTAGTAGTAGTAGTAGTAGTAGTAGTAGTATTTGCAGTAGTAGTAGTAGTAGTAGTATTTGCAGTAGTAGTAGTAGTATTTGCAGTAGTATTTGCGTAGTAGTAGTAGTAGTAGTAGTATTTGCAGTAGTAGTAGTAGTAGTATTTGCAGTAGTAGTAGTAGTAGTATTTGCAGTAGTAGTAGTAGTAGTAGTAGTAGTAGTAGTAGTATTTGCAGTAGTAGTAGTAGTAGTAGTAGTAGTAGTTTTGCAGTAGTAGTAGTGCAGTAGTAGTAGTAGTAGTAGTATTTGTAGTAGTAGTAGTAGTAGTAGTAGTAGTAGTAGTATTTTGCAGTAGTAGTAGTAGTAGTAGTAGTAGTATTTGCAGTAGTAGTAGTAGTAGTAGTAGTAGTAGTAGTATTTGCAGTAGTAGTAGTAGTAGTAGTAGTAGTATTTGCAGTAGTAGTAGTAGTAGTAGTAGTAGTTTGCAGTAGTAGTAGTAGTAGTAGTATTTGCAGTAGTAGTAGTAGTAGTAGTAGTAGTATTTGCAGTAGTAGTAGTAGTAGTAGTAGTAGTAGTAGTAGTAGTAGTAGTAGTAGTAGTAGTAGTAGTAGTAGTAGTAGTAGTATTTGCTAGTAGTAGTAGTAGTAGTATTTGCAGTAGTAGTAGTAGTAGTAGTAGTAGTAGTAGTAGTAGTAGTAGTAGTAGTAGTAGTAGTAGTAGTAGTAGTATTTGCAGTAGTAGTAGTAGTAGTAGTAGTAGTAGTAGTAGTATTTGCAGTAGTAGTAGTAGTAGTATTTGCAGTAGTAGTAGTAGTAGTAGTAGTAGTATTTGCAGTAGTAGTAGTAGTAGTAGTAGTATTTGCGTAGTAGTAGTAGTAGTAGTAGTATTTGCAGTAGTAGTAGTAGTAGTAGTAGTATTTGCAGTAGTAGTAGTAGTAGTAGTAGTAGTAGTAGTAGTATTTGCAGTAGTAGTAGTAGTAGTATTTGCAGTAGTAGTAGTAGTAGTAGTAGTAGTAGTATTTGCAGTAGTAGTAGTAGTAGTAGTATTTGCAGTAGTAGTAGTAGTAGTAGTAGTATTTGCAGTAGTAGTAGTAGTAGTATTTGCAGTAGTAGTAGTAGTAGTAGTAGTTTTGCAGTAGTAGTAGTAGTAGTAGTAGTATTTGCGTAGTAGTAGTAGTAGTAGTAGTAGTAGTATTTGCAGTAGTAGTAGTAGTAGTAGTATTTGCAGTAGTAGTAGTAGTAGTAGTTTGCAGTAGTAGTAGTAGTATTTGCAGTAGTAGTAGTAGTAGTATTTGCAGTAGTAGTAGTAGTAGTAGTATTGCAGTAGTAGTAGTAGTAGTAGTAGTAGTATTTGCAGTAGTAGTAGTAGTAGTAGTAGTATTTGCAGTAGTAGTAGTAGTAGTAGTAGTAATTTGCAGTAGTAGTAGTATTTGTTGTAGTTGTGTTTGTTGTTGTAGTGTTTGTTGTAGCAGTAGTAGTAGTAGTAGTAGTATTTGCAGTAGTAGTAGTAGTAGTAGTAGTAGTAGTAGTGAGAGTATTTGCAGTAGTAGTAGTAGTATTTGTTGTAGTTGTGTTTGTTGTTGTAGTGTTTGTTGTAGCAGTAGTAGTAGTAGTAGTAGTAGTGCAGTAGTTGCAGTAGTAGTAGTAGTAGTAGTAGTAGTAGTAGTAGTACCTGAGAGCAGGCTCTGGATGGACAGCAGGATGGAGCGCACGTCGTACAGAGCCGACCATTTCTCCTTGAGGATGTCGAGGCAGATCAGGCCCTGCTCGTCCACGTTGGGATGAAAACACGGAGTCACAAACTTCACACGCGGCGCCTGGTACGGATACGACGCCGGGAACTCCAGAGACACACGGAACCTCAGACCGGAGTACACCTGTCACACAGACAGGAGCACACCTGTCACACACACACACTCCAGAGAAACACGGAACCTCAGCCCGGAGTACACCTGTCACACAGACAGGAGCACACCTGTCACACACAGACAGGAGCACACCTGTCACACACACACACTCCAGAGACACACGGAACCTCAGACCGGAGTACACCTGTCACACAGACAGGAGCACACCTGTCACACACACACACTCCAGAGAACACACGGAACCTCAGCCCGGAGTACACCTGTCACACACTGTCACACACTCCAGAGACACACGGAACCTCAGACCGGAGTACACCTGTCACACAGACAGGAGCACACCTGTCACACACACACACACACACTCCAGAGACACACGGAACCTCAGCCCGGAGTACACCTGTCACACAGACAGGAGCACACCTGTCACACACACACACTCCAGAGACACACGGAACCTCAGCCCGGAGACACACCTGACAGACACACCTGTCACACACACACTCCAGAGACACACGGAACCTCAGACCGGAGTACACCTGTCACACAGACAGGAGCACACCTGTCACACACACTCCAGAGACACACGGAACCTCAGACCGGAGTACACCTGTCACACAGACAGGAGCACACCTGTCACACACACACACTCCAGAGAAACACGGAACCTCAGACCGGAGTACACCTGTCACACACAGACAGGAGCACACCTGTCACACACACACACTCCAGAGACACACGGAACCTCAGACCGGAGTACACCTGTCACACAGACAGGAGCACACCTGTCACACACACACACACTCCAGAGACACACGGAACCTCAGACCGGAGTACACCTGTCACACAGACAGGAGCACACCTGTCACACACACTCCAGAGACACACGGAACCTCAGCCCGGAGTACACCTGTCACACAGACAGGAGCACACCTGTCACACAGACAGGAGCACACCTGTCACACACTGTCACACTCCAGAGACACACGGAACCTCACCCGAGAGTACACCTGTCACACAGACAGGAGCACACCTGTCACACACAGACAGGAGCACACCTGTCACACACTCCAGAGACACACGGAACCTCAGCCCGGAGTACACCTGTCACACACAGACAGGAGCACACCTGTCACACACACACACTCCAGAGACACACGGAACCTCAGCCCGGAGTACACCTGTCACACACAGACAGGAGCACACCTGTCACACACAGACAGGAGCACACCTGTCACACACACACACTCCAGAGAAACACGGAACCTCAGCCCGGAGTACACCTGTCACACACAGACCGACCGGAGTACACCTGTCACACACAGACCGACCGGAGTACACCTGTCACACACAGACCGACCGGAGTACACCTGTCACACACAGACCGACCGGAGTACACCTGTCACACACAGACAGGGACAGACAGAACCTCAGACCCGAGTACACCTGTCAGAGACACTGCCAAACCAGGTCTAATCCAGGTCTAATCCAGGTCTAATCCAGGATCTAATCCAGGTCTAATCCAGGTCTAATCCAGGTCTAATCCAGGACTAAACCAGGACTAAACCAGGACTAAACCAGGACTAAACCAGGACTAAACCAGGTCTGTTGTATTGAGAACCTTGGAGCAGAACCTGACACACAGAGACCTGGAGGGACTCGTGCATCGAGTCGGGACAGCGGTGCCCGAGCGTGCACAGGTGTGAGCGGGAATAGAACCTTCAGCCGGAACACAGAACACACAGGTCAGGGGTCAGGGGTCAGGGGTCAGTACCGTGTCCTGAGCGCCGTCGATGGTTCCGATCCATTTGAACAGGTTTTCCGACTCGGGAAAGGCGCTGATTCCTTTGTCTCCGCTCATCTGAAAAAAAAAAAAACAACAAACACAAAAAAACTCTTCATTTTAGAATTAAACCTGAAAGTGAAAGTAAAAAAAAAGAGAGAGAGACTGACCATCAGCGTCATGAGCTCCTGCTGCAGCCTGAAACACAAACCACCGTCACAAACCTGTAGATCAACCCAACAGCGTCGTCGTCATAGTCGTCGTCACACTCACCGTTTGGTGACCGACCCCTTGGCGGCGCTGTGCCCGCCCTCGTTTCCTTTCAGAGCGGCGTTTGACGAGGCGGCGGCCGGATCCATGTTCTGAGACGCCATTTCTGAAAAGCACGGACATCGAAGAGCATTTTGTCTAACGGTGACGGCCTCGTTAAAAGTAAAACAAATAAAAAGCACCGATAATGAAACACAGAAGAGCCGTTTTCTCTCTGCGCGTTAGGGTCTGGTGGGGTCCAAATTTTGATACCGTGAAACCGTCTCAGGATTTTCCCGGGTTTTACAGTGTTACTGTTTTACCAAAACATCAGTGTTTACGTGTCGTTACCTCGAGAAACCACAACCACACGTCAAACACGACTCCACCCGACTCTGCAGCAGGACGAACCGACTCTGTGTTTATCAAGGTAAAGTCGCTCGTATCGACCGAGGCGTCGGGACCAAACGTCCGAGTCTGGGGACAAACGGTGGTTCGAACATGTGTCTCTGCATCAGAAGGAGCGAGACACAAACAGTGGGTCAGTCTGTAACGAACCGAAGCACAAATGTGGATTTAACCAGGATTTGTAGAAGAAATTCCACACTTTCCGTTGCGTTGGGACAAGTGTGAGTCCATGTGCACAGTGGATAAAGCAGCACATATGTTTCTGTGTCCAGTGGGAAAAAGTTTTTCCAGGTGAGAGTCGCTCAATGTGGATGACGAGGCCCCGCCCCCCTCCCCCGTACGCTGTCCTGGTTTTGACAAACACAAATCTGGTCACACTGACCTGTATTCACCTGAGTCATGTCTTTTAATCCAACACAAGTTGAACCACATCAGCGACACAAGAGCTGGAGTTTTATCTTCACTTAGTTTATGTAAATTAGTGATGTGGTTTTAAGTTTTGTTTCTGTGAGATTTGAACAAAACTGAATTAAACACATTATAATGTCAAACAGCTGATGTGGATCTAGAGTCGTTATGTTTATATGTCGTAAAGTTGAATTTATTGATGCAGATTAGTGCAGATAGTAATAATAATGATGATCATTTTAACAGAAAAACATTCATGATTAATCGATAATCAATCGTTAATTCTCCCGACGATCGATTAAGAAAATTTCATCGAATGTCCTTCTCTTCTCTCCTCCTCCCCTGTCTCCTCGCTCTCTTCTTCTCTCCTCTGAGATGAAGGTTCAGACTGACGCTCGCCGTGACCGGAGCCGTCGATGTTTTCATCTAAACATGCAGAAAATGCCGATATTTGTTAATTATCGCTGGGATAACGTGACGTCTGATGTTGGAAAACTGGCTCCACCACGTTTCTACGAAGATCTAGGTGCAGGTTGGCGTTCAGACGAGATGTTTCTACACAACATCACACGGCAGCGTCCGCTTCCTCAATTCAATGTGACAAGACAAAACATTTTTACACCAAATGTTACTGAACCCACTTGTCGTTCCTCTGTTTTTACTCGGATACAAACTTAAACCTGCACAGTCTTGATCCTGATCCACGTTTCTTCTGCTTCATAAACAGTGTTGGAGAGGAACAGATTACAAGTACCGGAGTAATCAGAGTACAAATGATGAGGAACTGGATTCAGTTACAGTTACTGTTTCAGTCAGTGGGAATTGGATTACAGTTACTTTGTTGAAATAAATGGATTATACAGAGGACTAAACCAGGACTAAACCAGGTCTAAAACCAGGTCTAAAACCAGGTCTAAAACCAGGTCTAAAACCAGGTCTAAAACCAGGTCTAAAACCAGAACTAAAACCAGGACTAAACCAGGGACTAAACCAGGTCTAAATCAGAACTAAACCAAGTCTAAACCAGAACTAAACCAACTAAACCAGGACTAAACCAGGTCTAAACCAGGTCTAAACCAGGTCTAAACCAGGTCTAAACAAGAACTAAACAAGAACTAAACCAGGACTAAACCAGGACTAAACCAGGACTAAACCAGGACTAAACCAGGTCTAAACCAGGACTAAACCAGGACTAAACCAGGTCTAAACCAGGACTAAACCAGGACTAAACCAGGTCGGTGTGTCTGTGTTTTGTCTCCGGGTTCTGGCGCTTCTGTCTCGGTCGTCGCGCCTGTGTGTCCCCGGCGCAGCGCTCACCTGTCCCGGTCTGTGTCCTCGGGGTTTCTCGGTGTGTCCTCGGTGTGTCCTCGGGGTTTCTCGGTGTGTCCTCGTGTGTCCTCGGGGTTTCTCGGTGTGTCCTCGGTGTGTCCTCGGGGTTTCTCGGGGTTTTATTTCGTGATTTCTCGTTTTTTTTTTCAGGTTTTTTCGGGTTTTCCGCGGATCGTTGGTCTGAAGCACAAACCGCCGTCGCTCGGTTTAAACTGGCACTTCCGCTCACAGCAGCCAATCACGGCCCGCCTCGTGACGTCTGCCCGCTCTGCACCAATCACAGCCCGTGGTTCAAAAACAGACCGAGCGGCTCAAATTTCAATTTAATTTAGTTAATTATTTTATTTATTTTAATTAATTTATCCCTTCCGGACATGTTTGATTTATTTTAGTGTAGTTTTGAGAGAGAAATCGGGGCGTTCCCAACAAAACACCAGCCATTATTTATTTTATTTTATTTTATTTTCATTTGTTTGGTTTGGTTTCGTTTGGTTTTATTTTGTTTTATTTTATTTTGTTTTATTTTGTTTTATTTTATTGTATTTTATTTTGTTTATTTATTTATGAAATAATTAAATAGTTTTACAGTAATTTTCATACACGCACAAAAAAAACAAAACAAAAACGTACAAAGTAATAATAATAATAATAATAATAATAATAATAATAATAATAATAATAATAATAATAAACTGTTCTTATGATTTTTACAGAAGCAGAATCTTGTGCGGCGTGCGGGACCGTTCCTCGTGTCCATGTTTTCTGTCCGGACTCATTTGGCGCTCGCTCCGGGCTGTGACGCGTTGTTTTATTTAATTTTTTTTTAAACTCTCTCGTTTCTCTCCGGATATTCACCCGAGACTCACCTGAGCGCGAGGATGGGCACTAAACACGTGACCTGCAGGTGAGCCCGCCGCGGGGTTCGGGGTTCAGGGTTCGATTCCGAGAAGAGTTTAGCCGCGAGCTCCAATGTTTTTAGCATTTTAGCATTAGCTCCGTGGCACGAGCGCAGACAGAAGGACACAAGACACCTCCTCGTCTCCTTGTCTCCTCCTCTCCTCTCTCCTCGTCTCCTTCTCTCCTCGTCTCCTTCTCTCCCTCTCTCCTCTCTCCTCGTCTCCTTCTCTTCTCTCTCCTTGTCTCCTTCTCTCCTCTCTCCTACCTCCTCATCTCCTTCTTCTCTCCTCGTCTCTCCTCTCTCTCTCTCTCTCTCTCTCTCCTCTCTCTCTCTCTCTCTCCTCTCTCTTCTCTCTCTCTTCTCTCCTCTCTCTCTCTCTCCTCTCTCTCCCTCTCCTCTCTCTCTCCTTCTCTCCTCTTCTCTCCTCTCTCCTCTCTCCTTCTCTCCTTCTCTCCTTCTCTCTCTCTCTCTCTCTCCTCTCCTTCTCTCCCCTCTCCTCTCTCTCTCCTCTCTCTCCTCTCTCTCCTCTCTCTCTCTCCCTCTTCTCTCCTCTCTCCTTCTCTCCCCTCTCCTTCTCTCCTTCTCTTCTCTCTCCTTCTCTCTTCTCTCCTTCTCTCCCCTCTCCTTCTCTCTCCTTCTCTCCCCTCTCTCCCTCTCCTCTCTCCTTCTCTCCTTCTCTCTTCTCTCCTCTCTCCTTCTCTCCTCTCTCCTTCTCTCTTCTCTCTCTTTCTCTCCTCGTCTCCTTATCTCATCTTTTTCTGTCCTCTCTCCTTCTCTCCTTCTCCCCTTCTCCTCTCTCCTTTCCTTCTCTCCTCTCCCTCTCTCCTCTCCTCTCTCCTCTTCTCACTCTTTCTTCTCTCTGTTTCTTCTCTCTGTTTCTCACTCTTTCTTTCTTTCTTCTGTTGTTTTTCAGGTACTTTCTTCACGGCGTGTGCAGGGAGGGCAGTAACTGTCATTTTTCTCATGATGTTCAGAACAGTTCTCCGTCTCTGGTTTGTCGTTATTACCAGCGAGGAGCGTGTGCCTACGGAGACCGCTGCAGGTGAGAGCCCCCCCCCCCCCCCCCCCCCGCTGCAGGTGAGAGCCCCCCCCCCCCCCCCCGCTGCAGGTGAGAGCCCCCCCCCCCGCTGCAGGTGAGAGCCCCCCCCCCCCCCCCCCCCCCCGCTGCAGGTGAGAGCCCCTGGTTTAGTCCTAGTTTAGACCTGGTTTAGCCTGGTTTAGACCTGGTTTAGTCCTGGTTTAGTCCTGGTTGGTTTAGTCCTGGTTTAGTCCTGGTTTAGACCTGGTTTAGTCCTGGTTTAGTCCTGGTTTAGTCCTGGTTTAGTCCTGGTTTAGACCTGGTTTAGTCCTGGTTTAGACCTGGTTTAGTCCTGGTTTAGTCCTGGTTTAGACCTGGTTTAGTCCTGGTTTAGTCCCCATCTCCTGGACACAGCAGGTCCCTCGCAGCTAATGCACCAGCCTCATTTATTCTGCACCTGTCGCTGTCTCACCTGTCGTTCTCTCACCTGTCGCTCTCTCACCTGTCGCTGATTCAGGTATGACCATGTCAAAGCCACGCCCAGAGGGGGAGGAGCCAGTGCCCAGACCGCCACAGGGGGCGGGGCCTCAGGTAACCCTCTGTCCTCAGACGCCTCCCCGTGTGTGTCAGGTCCCCTCTGTGTGTGTGTCAGGTGTCCTCCCTGTGTGTGTCAGGTCCCCTCTGTGTGTGTGTCAGGTGTCCTCCCTGTGTGTGTCAGGTCCCCTCTGTGTGTGTGTCAGGTCCCCTCTGTGTGTGTGTCAGGTGTCCTCCCCGTGTGTGTCAGGTCCCCTCTGTGTGTGTGTCAGGTGCTCTTTGTGTGTGTGTGTCAGGTGTCCTCCCTGTGTGTGTCAGGTCCCCTCTGTGTGTGTGTCAGGTGCCTCCCCGTGTGTGTGTCAGGTGCCCTCCCCGTGTGTGTCAGGTGCCCTCCCCGTGTGTGTCAGGTGTCCTCCCCGTGTGTGTCAGGTGCCCTCCCCGTGTGTGTCAGGTGTCCTCCCCGTGTGTGTCAGGTCCTCTGTGTGTGTGTCAGGTGTCCTCTGTGTGTGTGTGTCAGATGCCCTCTGTGTGTGTGTGTGTGTGTGTGTCAGGTCCCCTCTGTTTGTGTGTGTGTGTCAGGTCCTCTGTGTGTGTGTGTGTGTGTGTGTCAGGTCCTCTGTGTGTGTGTGTGTGTGTGTCAGGTCCCCTGTGTGTGTGTGTCAGGTCCTCTGTGTGTGTGTGTCAGGTCCTCTGTGTGTGTGTGTGTGTGTGTGTGTGTCAGGTGCCCTCTGTGTGTGTGTGTGTGTCAGGTCCTCTGTGTGTTTGTGTGTGTGTGTGTGTGTGTCAGGTCCTCTGTGTGTGTTGTGTGTGTGTGTGTGTCAGGTCCTCTGTGTGTGTGTGTGTCAGGTCCTCTGTGTGTGTGTGTCAGGTCCTGTGTGTGTGTTAGGTCCTCTGTGTGTGTGTGTGTCAGGTCCTCTGTGTGTGTGTGTGTGTGTGTGTGTCAGGTCCTCTGTGTGTGTGTCTGGGTGTTTAACCTTTGACCTGTGTGCTTCAGGTCAGAGGAGTGTTTTGTCCGTCGGCTCGTCGGCGCCTCCTGCCGTGTTTTACCCCCCACAGTCGTACGTGGAGGCAACAAGGACCGGACTGCACCCCCCAGGTCTCACCTGACGCACCCTGTCACACCTGACGCACCCTGTCACACACCTGACGCACCTGACACACACAGAGAGCACCTGACACACACAGAGAGCACCTGACACACACAGAGGGCACCTGACACACACAGAGGGCACCTGACACACACAGAGGGCACCTGACACACACAGAGGGCACCTGACACACACAGAGGGCACCTGACACACACAGAGGCCTGACACACACAGAGACACCTGACACACACAGAGGACCTGACACCTGACACACACCGAGGGCACCTGACACACACCGAGAGCACCTGACACACACCGAGGGCACCTGACACACACAGAGGGCACCTGACACACACAGAGGACACCTGACACACACCGAGAGCACCTGACACACACAGAGGGCACCTGACACACACACAGAGGGCACCTGACACACACAGAGGGCACCTAACACACACACAGAGGGCACCTGACACACACCGAGAGCACCTGACACACACAGAGGGCACCTGACACACACAGAGGACACCTGACACACACCGAGAGCACCTGACACACACCGAGGGCACCTGACACACACAGAGGGCACCTGACACACACACGAGGGCACCTGACACACACCGAGAGCACCTGACACACACAGAGGGCACCTGACACACACAGAGGACACCTGACACACACCGAGGCACCTGACACACACAGAGGGCACCTGACACACACACAGAGGGCACCTGCACTGACACACACAGAGGGCACCTGACACACACAGAGGGCACCTGACACACACAGAGGGCACCTGACACACACAGAGGGCACCTGACACACACAGAGGGCACCTGACACACACAGGAGGACACCTGACACACACCGAGAGCACCTGACACACAGGAGCAGGGCACCTGACACACAGGAGCAGGGCACCTGACACACAGGAGCAGGGCACCTGACACACTGGGAGGGCATCTGACTCTTTCTGTTGCAGTGGCTCCAGACTCCGCCCCCTTGTGTCCTTATTTGTTGACGGGGGAGTGTCGCTATGGTGACGAGTGTGTGTATCTCCACGGCGACCGCTGTGAGGTGTGTGGCCTCCACCTGCTGCACCCGACGGACGCCGCGCAACGCCGCGAGCACGAGAAGGTACTACTGAGAGTACTACTGAGAGTACTGCTGAGAGTACTGCTGAGAGTACTGCTAAGAGTACTGCTAAGAGTACTACTGAGAGTACTGCTGAGAGTACTACTGAGAGTACTGCTGAGAGTACTGCTGAGAGTACTGCTGAGAGTACTACTGAGAGTACTGCTAAGAGTACTACTGAGAGTACTGCTGAGAGTACTGCTGAGAGTACTGCTGAGAGTACTGCTGAGAGTACTGCTGAGAGTACTGCTGAGAGTACTGCTGAGAGTACTACTGAGAGTACTGCTGAGAGTACTGCTGAGAGTACTGCTGAGAGTACTGCTGAGAGTACTGCTGAGAGTACTACTGAGAGTACTGCTGAGAGTACTGCTGAGAGTACTACTGAGAGTACTTCTGAGAGTACTGCTGAGAGTACCGCTGAGAGTACCGCTGAGAGTACCACTGAGAGTACCGCTGAGAGTACTACTGAGCGTACTGCTAAGAGTACTACTGAGAGTATTGCTAAGAGTACTACTGAGAGTACTACAATTACTACTATGAGTACTACTACGGGTCCTACTAAGAGTACTACTACTACTACCAGTGCTTCTGTTCTGATTGGTCCTGGTGTGTTCTTTGCTCTGATTGGTTGTTCTGTTGTAGTTGTGTCTGTTGGAGTTTGAGGCCGACATGGAGAACGCCTTCAACGCCCAGATGAGCCAAGACAAGGTCTGAACCAGGAACCAGGACTAAACCAGGACTAAACCAGGACTAAACCAGGACTAAACCAGGACTAAACCAGGACTAAACCAGGACTGAACCAGGACTAAACCAGGTCTATAGCTCCTCTCCTCTGATTAATCGTCTCCTCTGTCTCCTCTCCTCTGATCGGTCGTCTCCTCTGCGTCCTCTCCTCTGATTGGTTGTCTCCTCTGCGTCCTCTCCTCTGATTGGTCGTCTCCTCCGTGTCCTCTCCTCTGATTGGTCGTCTCCTCCGCGTCCTCTCCTCTGATTGGTCGTCTCCTCTGTGTCCTCTCCTCTGATTGGTCATCTCCTCTGCGTCCTCTCCTCTGATTGGTCGTCTCCTCTGCGTCCTCTCCTCTGATTGGTCGTCTCCTCAGGTGTGCTCGATCTGTATGGAGGTGGTGGTGCAGAAGCTCGGCCAATCAGAGCGCCGGTTTGGGATCCTGTCGTCGTGTGACCACGTGTTCTGCCTCAGCTGCATCAGGAAGTGGAGACACGCCCCCTTCGCCAACGACGTCGTCAAGTGAGTCACGACACGCCCCCCTTCGCCAACGACACGCCCCCCTCGCCAACGACACGCCCCTTCGCCAACGACACGCCCCCTCGCCAACGACACTCCCCCCCCTCGCCAACGACACTCCTCCCCCCTCGCCAACGACACTCCTCCCCCTTCGCCAACGACACTCCTCCCCCCTCGCCAACGACACTCCTCCCCCTTCGCCAACGACACTCCTCCCCCCTCGCCAACGACACTCCTCCCCCCTCGCCAACGACACGCCCCCCCCTCGCCAACGACACTCCTCCCCCTTCGCCAACGACACTCCTCCCCCTCGCCAACGACACTCCTCCCCTCGCCAACGACACTCCTCCCCCTCGCCAACGACACTCCTCCCCCCTCGCCAACGACACTCCTCCCCTTCGCCAACGACACTCCTCCCCCTTCGCCAACGACACTCCTCCCCCTCGCCAACGACACTCCTCCCCCTCGCCAACGACACTCCCCCCTCGCCAACGACACTCCTCCCCCTCGCCAACGACACTCCTCCCCCTTCGCCAACGACACTCCTCCCCCTCGCCAACGACACTCCTCCTGACCTCCCCTCGCCAAGGACACTCCTCCCCCCGCCAACGACACTCCTCCCCCTCGCCAACGACACTCCTCCCCCTCGCCAACGACACTCCTCCCCCTCGCCAACGACACTCCTCCCCCTCGCCAATGACACTCGACACCCCCTCGCCAACACTCCCCCTCGCCAACGACACTCCTCCCCCTCGCCAACGACACTCCTCCCCCTCGCCAACGACACTCCTCCCCCTCGCCAACGACACTCCTCCCCCTTCGCCAACGACACTCCTCCCCCCTCGCCAACGACACCCCCCTCGCCAACGACACTCCTCCCCCTCGCCAACGACACTCCCCCCTCGCCAACGACACTCCTCCCCCTCGCCAACGACACTCCTCCCCCTTCGCCAACGACACTCCTCCCCCTTCGCCAACGACACTCCTCCCCCTCGCCAATGACACTCCCCCCCTCGCCAACGACACTCCTCCCCCTCGCCAACGACACTCCTCCCCCTCGCCAACGACACTCCCCCTCGCCAACGACACTCCTCCCCCTCGCCAATGACACTCCGACACGCCCCTTCGCCAACGACATGCCCCCTCGCCAACGACACTCCTCCCCCCTCACCAACGACACTCCTCCCCCTCGCCAATGACACTCCCCCCCTCTGATTGACTCTCCTGCTCTGCTTTGGCCTCTCCTCTGATTGGCCCTCCTGCTCTGTCCTCTCCTCTGATTGACTCTCCTGCTCTGCTCTGGCCTCTCCTCTGATTGGCCCTCCTGCTCTGTCCTCTCCTCTGATTGGCTCTCTCGTTGCAGGGCGTGTCCGGAGTGTCGGGTTCCGTCAGAGCTTGTGGTTCCGTCCGTTCACTGGGTGCAGGACCCGGCGCAGAAGGACCAGCTGGTGGCGCTGTTCAAGAACGCAGTGAGGTACGAAGTGTAACGTGAAGAAGAACACCGTCCTGCCGTCCCGTACGCCGCGCGGACCGTGTCCCGTACGCCGCGCGGACCGTCCCGTACGCCGCGCGGACCGTCCCGCCGTCCCGTACGTCGCGCGGACCGTCTCCCGCCGTCCCGTACGCCGCGCGGACCGTGTCCCGCCGTCCCGTACGTCGCGCGGACCGTCTCCCGCCGTCCCTTACTGTAAAAGTAAAAGTGTACGTTTCCTGTCTTCTTCACAGTAAAAGCGTGCGTTTCCTGTCTTCTTCACAGTAAAAGCGTGCGTTTCCTGTCTCCTTCACAGTAAAAGCGTGCGTTTCCTGTCTCCATCACAGTAAAAGCGTGCGTTTCCTGTCTCCTTCACAGTTAAAGCGTGCGTTTCCTGTCTCCTTCACAGTTAAAGCGTGCGTTTCCTGTCTCCTTCACAGTAAAAGCGGGTTTCCTGTCTCCTTCACAGTTAAAGCGTGTTTCCTGTCTCCTTCACAGTAAAAGTGTGCGTTTCCTGTCTCCTTCACAGTAAAAGCGTGCGTTTCCTGTCTCCTTCACAGTTAAAGCGTGCGTTTCCTGTCTCCTTCACAGTAAAAGCGTGCGTTTTCTGTCTCCTTCACAGTAAAAGCGTGCGTTTCCTGTTTCCTGTCTCCTTCACAGTAAAAGCGTGCGTTTTCTGTCTCCTTCACAGTAAAAGCGTGCGTTTCCTGTCTCCTTCACAGTAAAAGCGTGCGTTTCCTGTCTCCTTCACAGTTAAAAGCGTGCGTTTCCTGTCTCCTTCACAGTTAAAGCGTGCGTTTCCTGTCTCCTTCACAGTAAAAGCGTGCGTTTCCTGTCTCCTTCACAGTTAAAGCGTGCGTTTCCTGTCTCCTTCACAGTAAAAGCGTGTTTCCTGTCTCCTTCACAGTAAAAAGCCGTGTAAGTTCTTCCTGGAGGGTCGGGGGACGTGTCCGTTTGGAGACCGATGTTTGTATCTACACCAAGACCCGTTTGGACGAAGACCAGGACCAGAGCGAGTCCGGAAACAGCTGGGACCAGAGGGGACCGTCAGGGTGAGACCTGGTTTAGTTCTGGTTTAGTCCTGGTTCAGTTCTGGTTTAGTCCTTGTTTAGACCTGGTTTAGTCCTGGTTTAGACCTGGTTTAGACCTGGTTTAGTCCTGGTTTAGACCTGGTTTAGTCCTGGTTTAGACCTGGTTTAGGCCTGGTTTAGTTCTGTTTTAGACCTGGTTTAGACCTGGTTTAGTCCTGGTCTAGTCCTGGTTCAGTCCTTGGTTTTTGTCTCTTTCAGTTCATGAATAACGTTCGTCTTTGGGACTTTATCGAGGAGAGAGAGACTCGCACGGCCCCGCCCACTGATGACATCACCCCTCAACCCGACGACATCATCACGGCCCCACGTCATGACATCGCGGCGGCGGCGGCGACAGCGGAGGAGGAGGAGGAGGAGCTGAGCCGGAGTGTGCAGCAGCTCTCCACCACAGACACATAATAAAAGAAGAAAAACAAAACGACAAACGCAAAATCAGACTGTTCAGAGGTCAGAGGGTCAGAGGTCAGGGGGTCAGAGGGTCAGAGGTCAGAGGTCAGGGGGTCAGAAGTCATATCATCTGTGATCATGTGACCAGGAAACATGGAAATATGAAATACTTTGTCTGACTTTATGACACTAATAAAATCTAAAAGTGTTTGAGACGAGTGTGACGCAGTGTGACGAGTGTGTGTGACGCAGACGAGTGTGACGACGAGTGTGTGTGTGTGTGACGCAGTGTGACGAGTGTGACGCGAGTGTGTGTGACACAGACGAGTGTGACGCAGACGAGTGTGTGTGACGACGAGTGTGACGAGTGTGACGAGTGTGTGTGTGTGACGCAGACGAGTGTGACGCGAGTGTGTGTGACACAGACGAGTGTGACGCAGACGAGTGTGACGTGAGTGAGTGTGACGCGAGTGTGTGTGACGGAGGCGAGTGTGACGCGAGTGTGTGATGGAGGCGAGTGTGACGCGAGTGTGTGTGACGCGGACGAGTGTGATGTGAGTGTGTGTGACGCGAGCGAGTGTGACGCGGATGAGTGTGACGCGAGTGTGTGTGACGGAGGCGAGTGTCACGCGAGTGTGTGTGACGCGGACGAGTGTGACGCGAGTGTGTGTGACGCAGACGAGTGTGACGCGAGTGTGTGTGTGACACAGACGAGTGTGTGACGCAGACGAGTGTGACGCAGACGAGTGTGACGCGAGTGTGTGTGTGACGCGGACGAGTGTGACGCGAGTGTGTGTGACGCAGACGAGTGTGTGTGACGAGTGTGTGTGACGGAGGCGAGTGTGACGCGAGTGTGTGTGACGACGAGTGTGACGAGTGTGACGGAGACGAGTGTGTGACGCGAGTGTGTGTGACGGAGACGAGTGTGACGCAGACGAGTGTGACGCGAGTGTGTGTGACGGAGACGAGTGTGTGTGACGGAGACGAGTGTGACGCGAGTGTGTGTGACGGAGACGAGTGTGACGCAGACGAGTGTGACGGAGACGAGTGTGTGTGACGCAGACGAGTGTGACGCAGACGAGTGTGACGCAGACGAGTGTGACGGAGACGAGTGTGAAGCACATGAGTGTGACGGAGACGAGTGTGACGCAGACGAGTGTGACGCACATGAGTGTGACGGAGACGAGTGTGACGCGAGTGTGTGTGACGGAGACAAGTGTGACGCAGACGAGTGTGACGGAGACGAGTGTGACGCAGACGAGTGTGACGCAGACGAGTGTGACGGAGACGAGTGTGACGCAGACGAGTGTGACGCGAGTGTGTGTGACGGAGACGAGTGTGACGCAGACGAGTGTGATGAGACGAGTGTGACGCACATGAGTGTGACGGAGACGAGTGTGACGCAGACGAGTGTGACGCAGACGAGTGTGACGGAGACGAGTGTGAGCACGATGAGTGTGACGAGACGAGTGTGACGCAGACGAGTGTGACGCACATGAGTGTGACGGAGACGAGTGTGACGCGAGTGTGTGTGACGGAGACAAGTGTGACGCAGACGAGTGTGACGGAGACGAGTGTGACGCAGACGAGTGTGACGCAGACGAGTGTGACGCAGACGAGTGTGACGGAGACGAGTGTGACGCAGACGAGTGTGACGCGAGTGTGTGTGACGGAGACGAGTGTGACGCAGACGAGTGTGACGGAGACGAGTGTGACGCACATGAGTGTGACGGAGACAAGTGTGACGCAGACGAGTGTGACGCAGACGAGTGTGACGGAGACGAGTGTGACGCAGACGAGTGTGACGGAGACGAGTGTGACGGAGACGAGTGTGACGCAGATGAGTGTGACGGAGACGAGTGTGACGCGAGTGTGTGTGACGGAGACGAGTGTGACGCAGACGAGTGTGACGCAGACGAGTGTGACGCGAGTGTGACGCGAGTGTGTGTGACTCTTTGGTTTGATCGTCGCTATCATTATTATTATTATTATTATCATTATTATTACTATTATTATTATTATTCTTATTATCATCATTATTATCATAATAAAAGATTGAAGTGTGTTTTGAGCTGCGCCTTCATCACAAACTAAACTCTTATTTTAAACACATATTCTTCATACGTTTTCATATTAACACATTTAATATTTATTCTTAAACATATTTATTTGTGTTTTTATATTTTTATAAATTTTTGGAAGCAATCGATGTTTTGGTTCTGAGGCCGGAGGTCAGATCCCGAACCCGGAAGTGCGCTCTGTGACGCTTCCGGGCGCGTGTGCTGCGTGTTTGTTTTTTTTCGGCGCCTGCGGTTCGTCCAGGATCAGAACCAAGACCAGGACCAAGACCAGGACCAAGACCAGAACCAGGACCAGAACTGAGCCCGGACTCGAGGCGGAGATGGTAAGAGGCTAAAGGCTAACGGCTAAAGGCTAACTATTCCAAATGAACGGGCGCGATGCTAACAGCGGAGCTAACGGGAGCTAACTGTTAAAAAAAAGAATCCAGAGAAATATTTAGACAAGAAATTAAAGTGACTGAGCCTCAAATCATGAATCAAATTAAAGTTACACATCACCTTGATCAGAACCTGCTTTGGGTTTTATCTCCAAAAGATGATTTATGAAGAAATGTGGAAGGAAAACGAAATGTTTTGGAGGAGCTCATGAAGTTTTTTTATTATTTATTTTTTCTATTTAATTTTATTTATTTATTATATATATATATATTTTTTTTAAGGAGCTCATTAATTAAATTTGTATTTTTTATTTATATATTTTTTTTGTTGGTTTATTTTGTTTTTTTAGTTTTTTTAGGAGCTCATGAAGTTTGTGCTGAAGTTGTGAAGCTCCTGCACATGATTTTGTTTTTCCTTCAGAAACTTCACAGTCCGAACATTTAGTCTTGAAGAAAACGCCAGAACAGTTTTGAGGCGACGTTTTTGGTCCTTTATAAAAGATGGAACAGGAAACATTTATTTGGTTCTGTTCTCGTTTAGGCCACAGGGACATTTTCAAGAGTCTCCAACAGAACTCAAATATTCAGTCATTTGCATACATTTTTTAGCTAAATATTTTGGACAGAGATGGAACTAAAAGGAAGGGAGAGAATCTAAAAAAATAAAATAAAATCAGACGACTCGCTGTTTAAATGTTGAAAAGTGAAATAAAGTTTGAATACACAATAACTGTTTTTCTCTTCTTTATTTCAGGCTCGTAACGCGGAGAAGGCCATGTGAGTGTCTACACCCGCACACATATATATACACACGCACACACACACACACACACACATATATATATATATATATATATATATATACACACACACACATACACATATATATATATACATACACATATATATATATACCCACACACATACACATATATATATATATATACACACACACACACATATACACGTGCATATAAACACACACTTACACACAAATACATATGGCGACGACTGTAAAAGTGTAAAGTCTGTTGTTTTGGCGACCACTGTAAAAGTGTAAAGTCTGTTGTTTTGGCGACCACTGTAAAAGTGTAAAGTCTGTTGTTTTGGGACCACTGTAAAAGTGTAAAGTCTGTTGTTTTGGCGACCACTGTAAAAGTGTAAAGTCTGTTGTTTTGGCGACCACTGTAAAAGTGTAAAGTCTGTTGTTTTGGCGACTGTAAAAGTGTAAAGTCTGTTGTTTTGGGGACTGTAAAAGTGTAAAGTCTGTTGTTTTGGGGACTGTGAAAGTTAAACGGTGTGTGTTGCAGGACGGCTCTGGCCCGGTTCCGTCAGGCGCAGCTGGAGGAGGGAAAAGTCAAGGTCTGAACCATTTAAATATTTTATCTAAATATAAAGGTGTTTTCATTAAAGAGGAGGTATTCTTTATATCATTTTCAAAACCATAAAAGGAACATGGTGATCTGAATATGTGACGTGTTACAGGTAATGATAATTATATTAGTAATAAATTCTATATTATATTAGTATTAAATACTATACTGTATTATATTATAGTAATAAACACTGTATTCTATTCTATTATTTTATATGAATAAATACAGTATTATATTGTAGTACTAAATCCTGTATGATGTTATAAAATCAGTGATGACACTTTGACGTCTTGTGTTGCAGGAGCGGCGTCCGTATCTGGCGTCTGAATGTGACGAGCTCCCCAAAGCCGAGAAGTGGAGACGACAGGTGACCCCCGACCCCCTGTCACTAACCCCGACCCCCTGTCACTAACCTATGTGCAGTACTTTTACTTTGAGACGTTTGTGTTTTTCAGATCATCAGTGAAGTCTCAAAGAAAGTCGCTCAAATCCAAAACGGTCAGTATTTCCTGTTCCTCGTCCTCCTGACTCTTTCACAGTAAAAGCCCCTGACTCTTTCACAGTAAAAGCCCCTGACTCTTTCACAGTAAAAGCCCCTGACTCTTTCACAGTAAAAGCCTGTGACTGATGTATGTGTTATATTTTCAGCCGGTGTGTGTTTGTATGTTTATATATTTGTACTTTTGATATATTTGTACTTTGATATATTTGTACTTTGATATATTTGTACTTTGATATATTTGTACTTTGATATATTTCCAGCGGGTTTGGGCGAGTTCCGGATCCGAGATCTAAACGATGAAATCAACAAACTCCTGCGAGAAAAACGCCACTGGGAAATACGAATCAAAGAACTGGGAGGACCGGACTACAGGGTACTACTATTACTATTACTATTACTACTACTACTACTACTACTACTATTACTACTACTGCTACTACTATTACTACTACTACTATTACTATTACTACTACTGCTACTACTATTACTACTACTACTACTACTATTACTACTACTGCTACTACTATTACTACTACTACTATTACTATTACTACTACTGCTACTACTATTACTACTACTACTACTATTACTACTACTGCTACTACTACTACTACTATTACTATTACTACTACTGCTACTACTATTACTACTACTACTACTACTATTACTACTACTGCTACTACTATTACTACTACTGCTACTACTATTACTATTACTACTACATAACAAACTTAAAATCTAATACAGGATCCCTGCATGTCACGAACGAATTTGAAAAGGCCAATGAATTAAATGCCTTTTATAATAGGTTTGAATGTTCACCAGGTCATTTCGAGCTGAATCTTGAACACAGCCACAGGCTTCTGGTTGATCCCGAGGTGGTCACCACTATTTTTAAAAGACTTGACACCAAAAAGGCCAGCGGGCCAGATGGGATCTCAGCTTTCCTGCTAAAGACTTTTGCTGATGAACTGAGCCAAGCATGGTGTCCCTTATTTCAAATTTCAGTAGATACAGGGGATATACCTTTGCTCTGGAAAAAGTCTATTATCACCCCTGTACCAAAGAAAACCTGTCCTAAAGAGAACAATGACTTCAGGCCTGTGGCCTTGACATCAGTGACCATGAAATCATTTGAGCGTGTTATGGTGGGGTTTCTGAGGGAGGAGGTAGCGGCACATGTAGATCCCTATCAGTTTGCTTACTGCAGCAACAGAAGTACTGATGATGCTCTTGTAACTACTGCCCACTTAATACTGAAACACTTAGAGGATCCTTCATCATATGCCAGAATACTGTTCATGGATTTTAGCTCAGCATTTAATACAATATTACCGAGCATTCTGCTGAAGAAGCTGTTAGATCTGGGTGTTAACAGTCATGTTATTAAGTGGTATTGGGCATTTCTTACAGGGAGACAGCAACAAGTTAAGGTTAACTCAGCGCTGTCAGATATTCAGGTTGTCAGCACTGGGGCACCACAGGGCTGTGTTAGCTCACCTCTTCTTTTCACTTTGTACACCAATGCATGCAGGAGTAGACAGGTAAACAACTATATAATTAAATTTTCTGATGACACAGCTATTCTTAGTTTACTCAGTAAAAGCACAGATGTGGTGCATTGGTGTGAGGAGCATAACCTTGTCTTAAATGTGGAAAAGACAAAGGAGATAATTTTTTATCCCAAATCTGTCGGGGACCACAGCCCCGTTAACATCAGGGGGAGGGACATAGAGCAGGTGACATGTTATAAGTACTTGGGTGTGTTATTTGATTCTCAGCTCCAATGGTCCAGCAGGTACAGTCTGTCTGCTCAAGAATCAGCCAGCGTCTCTATTTTTTAAGACGGCTTAGGTTACATGGAGTTGACACCAATGTAATGCTGTTGTTTTATAAAGCATGCATAGAATCTATCTTACGCTATGGCATGTCAACATGGTTTGGTAACCTGTCAGTCAAACTTAAAGCACAGATTTTTACCTTGACTAAAAGAGCAGGTAAAATAATGGGTGTGGCCCCAAGCTCACTTCAGCAAATTTTTGAGGAGACTGTGAGGAAGCTCAGCAGGAAGGTGATCAATGACCCAACCCATGTTCTTCACAGTCAGTTTGAGTTGATGCCATCAGGCAGAAGGTTCAGGTCCCAAACTGTAAACTGAACAGATTCAAACATTCTTTTGTGCCACTAGCTGTTAAACTGCTAAACTCAGATAATGCAGTTAAAAAATAATTATAAAAGGCTTAGGGATTGTGCAATCAAAACTGCACATAGGTGTAGGTGTAGGGAATGTGCAATAATTATAACTAGAGCCTGACCGATATATCGGCTGACCGATATTATCGGCCAATATGGGCACTTGGAGACATATCGGCTATCGGCCGATATGCTTGCTGATATGGGCCGATATTTCACGTGGGCATGTTATATCTC